ATCCATCCATCCATCCATCCATCCATCCATCCATCCATCCATCCATCTCATTACCCTCTCAATCCAGTTTAGGATTGCAGGGGGGAGGCTGTGACTTGTCCCAGTTGCAAATAGTTGAGAGGCAGTACATATTCTCTCAGTTTAGCTTTATTTCATGTTTTGCAGATTGCTCCGACTCTTTTGATCCACAGTCCCTGTTTTTCCTGAAGGACATACATCTTCTGATGCCCACTCTGTGAGCTCACAGTCCGTTGTGTTTGAATAATGGCCCTTGTGTGGTGGTCTTTGCATAGCCATGAATGTTGTACACAGAATAGTACAGGTATTGTCAAGATTATTTACCTCAGAGAAATTATATAAAGTTCTATTCAATGAGAAGCTCTCAATTAGTTATGATCATACATTTTGTAATCATGTTAAAAGTTATACTTACATAAACAATGACTGGATTATATTCTAGATTATATATTGTCAGTTTTGCTGACATTTCCTCTATCAGGTCGATAGATGATGTCAAAATTCACATTTGGGGGTCTGTGTTCTTAGATTTAGTCTTTCACATAGTTACCATTGATGATGTATGTTCTATGGGACTTTCAAAAGACATCAAAAGGTCACACAAATTCACTAAGAAGAGAGGCCTTTGGGAATGTACACTGCCCGTCAAATATGTGTAAAAAAGTTTCCATATATTTTGATTAAGTAGAATACGTCCATACTTATGTTGTGTAGGTGGAAGTTTCAACATTTGTCATATGAACAAAAAAATTGAAATGGACAACATCCCCCTGGAGTGTGGATACTGCGGTGGTAGATAAGCAGAACTAGAAGATTGAGCCTTCATATGTCATAAAGACGTATGGATCACAGTTGTGACAGTGTGAGGTGGGTCTGACAGAGGAAAGCAGAAGTGACAGAAAGAGAGTTGCTGTCAAAAACTGTTTCTTGACCCTTTGATTAAAGAGGATGAAAGATGAAACAGAGCTCTGGTTTTGAACATACACCAGTGGCTTCAGAGTATTTGTCCTTATGTAGGTATTTAACAACACAACTCACGGAAATGCTTATAATAAACAGTATTTCCGCAGTAAATTATTGTTGGGATGAGAAAAGTCTTAAATTATCAATTTCTTCACTGCTGCCAGAATACCCTGTTTTTATTAAACATTTATCCTTATACATATTGAATTATAAACATTCTCCACAGCTTTTGTATTATAGTGTTTTTTATTATTATGGTTTATTATCCGTACCATTCTAATGTAAATCTACAAATCGAAGCAGAAAAATATCTTTTCGATATATCATTTTGACTCATGTCAGTTAAATTTTCAAATATTAGTAATGGAAAATGTATGGTTTCTTGATGATTTTTTAACTATAAAAATAAAAGACCTGGCATACAGCCCATCTGGATGACTGAAAGACATCAACATATATATCGCTTCCTCCCTGCATTTGAGACTACCGAGTGGGAGACAGAGAAGAAGTGGCTAACCTTGCAGCAGCACTGTGCCAAAGGCTTGGGAGCCGAGAGGGCAGACATCTGCCATTCCCCCATGCTCAGGTCCTCATTTACTAACCATGCAGATGGCAGATTTCAACCTGCCCTTATACCAGAAAAATCATGCTGTGTCCATATTGTTTGTGGCCGGATGGCTTTCCATTTCCTTATGTCCCCTCAAAGTAGAGTTGTCAGCTTGCCAAGAATCGCTCTAAAGAAACTGTGACCCCATGGGCTATGCTATGAAAAGTTGCTCTGCCCCTTACAACTTACCCTTCAGTACCTGACATAAAGTTTCTGTGATCACCAAACCTTGGAAACGTGATGGAAATCTGTACCACATAAAAAAAAGGCCACTGCGGTCCCACCTTTACTGGCAACGGATGCTGTCAGTCTGACAAACACATCGATCTTCATTCCTGTCTGTGATGATGTTGCATGAGATTCATCCATCCAACCATTATCGTAATCCTATTCTCTATATTGGGGAACTGGAGCCTATCCCAGAGGTCAATGGGCGAGTGATGGGATACACCCTGGATGGTTTTCCTGTCCATCGCAGGGCCGTTGTATAAAATTGTGTCAGGAAATATGTGGTAATATGTAATAGATCATGTTTACATCATGATAAACTTGGTAAAAAGCAGGAATGGATTTAGTTCTGTTGTACTTCCAGCCATGTTCTCCTTATCATGCCCTGGTTCACTGCAGGTACTGCAGTTTTTTCTCCTTTTTCCTAAAACACGTATGTTAGGTTGATGTGTGACTCCAAAAACTGGTGATCAGTCCAGGGTGTAGCTCCAGTATTGCAAATGGATGGATGGATTCAATGAGGCAAAAGCCCACCATAAAAAATATAAATGTACAATACCTTATTTATTCCAAAAATGAGAAGTAACCTAAACCCACATGACCTAATACATTCTGGCAAGTTTAAGCAACTACTGGAAATATTTCTAAAAAGGCAAATGCCATGCCTTTGTATGAGGGCACGTCTTCCTTTTCACCAAAGATATAAGACATCTCTGATTTGCTTCCAGGATACTCAGCTTGCCTTCTCTTCTGTGTTTGCTGTATCCATGGCAACTGAGCTACAGTTTCCCCTCACTTTGAGCCGAGGTGAATGCATCTACATGCTATCTGTTAGACAAGCTTTTGCTTAGAAAAGGCTTCAGATTTCCTCCCTATGTGTATTTGACACATGGGAATAAACAACCAAATCATGGAAAAAGATAAATGGGCCCAAACTGGATGGAAGATAGAACAGAAGTATGGAAATAAAGTACTGTTGGGTAACTGGGCTGAGGACAGACTTCAGGTAAGGTTATGCTTGCTTATTGTACACTTATGCATTACACTTACATTACATTACAATACAACTGTGAAATAATTTCAAATGAACTCAAATTGAAAATTTATGTTGGGATATCTATATATTCAAGTTTAATGTGATGAAGCCTATACAAAAATGGTTCCGCGGGTTGGGATAAGCTAATATTCCTTACAGCCTTCTAGTGGAACAGAATAGACCTGGAGACTAATTACACTGACTTGAAGTTTGTCCGTTAGCTGCCGGTTCAGGATTTGAGCGAAGAAATTACTTAAGAAATATCCAGCAGAGCGGATCGATACTGATGTGTGAGCTTTGCTGATCCTTGCACTGGGGTCCTCGCTCGGGCCCATTTCTCATTCTTTGCGATGCCTGTTTATTCTACACAGTTCACTCGAGAGCCAAAAATAGCCAACAGCACCAGTCGTTTAGACTACCGACCCCACTGGGAGTTTAAGCCAGACCTCTCCGTGAGAAGATCTGCCCTGCTGAGAGCTGAGGTCAGCTCTTAACTGCTCGTTCAGGGCATTAACACCAATTGAATGCCTGTCACAACACTGCAAGTCAGGGCTTTCTTTTTTAGATTGTGGACACTTCTTTATAATATTGATGGGCAAGATAAAGGCCTGTGATAAAACTCCCTATGAAAGCAAGTTTCTGCTCAGACTCAGCAGTCATGAAAAATGTGTAAAATCATCACTCCTTAAAGGCACTTAAAAGCTAGTTAGAGCGATTTGCCTGTGTCACATGGCGAGTCTCTTGATGATTATTAAAAAAGAACAGGTCTTGACCTGTATATCTTAATCTAATGAAGTCCACTGCATTGAGCATATATTAAATCTTCTGTGTATTTCCATCTAGGGATATCCATACAAGATGCTTATCGCTCCCAACAAAGTACAATCATCACATTATTTGATCTCGCAGTATCAGGAAAGTTTTGTGCATGGGCACAACAACCCTTTGACAGTTTTGCTACCTCAAAAGCCAGGCAGCTCTACAGTGGAACCCCAAAAGTCTTCTGGTAAGTCCAAGATTCAAAATGCCTCGCCACTGTAGTGAGAATGTAAAAATTCTCATGAACAATTGAAATCAGGGTCCATTTTCTTGTTCCATTTCAGTCAATATTGTAATACATGACTACAGAAATCGTGACAGTTAACTTTTTCTTTCTACTGCCCTTTCAGCAGCCTTTGGCCAATTGGATTGCACAAATCACCATTTCGAGACCCAGCAGCCACGCCTTCCATCACTTACTGTGTATAGGTCAACATACCAAAGGCACCCACTTGATGCCTTCTGCCAGAACCGCTTTGCCAGGGCGTCACGTATGCTCTCCAGCCATCTCTATGTTAACAATCACAACAACAAGGACCTGCATTTGAGACAGCGTTTGCTCCTTCAAGTCCCCGATCATTGTTTCAAATGAGTTTAGACACAGAACGGTTGCTGTTGAATTTCATCAAATCCTGCTTGTAATTTAGAGGATTAAATCAGAGTGGTGCATTTTCTATACTACATTTATCTTTTTATGAGTTGTCATTATAAGTTGTAAAAACAAAAACATAAACTGAAGTCATTCATGAAATCAAAATGGATACAAATATTGAACATGGTTCTCATTAGGCCAGTGTAAGAATATTAGTAGATTGACCTGAGTGTGTAGAGTATCAATATTCTAACAGATATTAAGGCGTCTGCCAGATGGAGAGATGTGACGGCAATAAATGATGTCATATTAGGCAAGAAAGCCAGAGTTAGAATTACACTGGATACATACAAAGAAAATATTACATAGTTATTAATGTTGATGATAGATCTAACCTAAACAAAGCAGAGGCAATGGGTCATCCAAGGCAATGTGTGAGGAGAGTCTCATTCCATTAGGTTTGTAATTACAAGGAAGTGTTTAATTAGGAAGAATCAAAGATGCTTATGTTTGATGGTCAACCATCTGTCTGCCTCCCCTTTTCCCCGTTCCCCTGCTGTTTTCCGGTCCAACTCTGTTTCACTCTCTGTGAACTTGTTATGTCACTCCATTACCAATGCATCAGATGACATTTTTGTATCACTGTGCCCCTTGAGCATGTCTTTCCAAACCTCTGCTGCACTAGCCTGCTGAACCACATGATGGTGCTATAGCAGCATGTCACCCTCTGCAAAGGACACATTTTTGAATGAACAAGCAACAAGCGACTTAACAATTGCATCATTTCATGCATGTTTAATTATTTATTCAAATAAAGTGTTTACATCATACATATACATATAATTACTCATATATTTCCGATATTGTCATAACGTCACATTAATTATGGAACAGAGTTTCACCCGATTAGAGTTAATCACTTATAGAGAGTTATTCTAACTCTCATTCAGCAGGCTTTGGCCAATTGGATTTCACAAATCACCATGTGAAGAACCAGCAGCCACACCTTCAATTACTGTAGGTCAGCATACCAAAGGCACCCACTTGATGCAGAAGGCATCAAGTGGGATGAAAAGAGAGTTGAACAGAGTTGAATAGAGAGTTAGAATAACTCTCTATACGTGATTTTTTATCTTTTGTGTACAGAAAGCAAAATCAAATTAGTCAAAATGTAAAAAACTACAAGGGCTGCTTCCCCTGTATGTAGGATGTCTACAAAAGAAAAAAGCCAAAAAGAAAACACAAATCAAAGTGTTGAGAAGATTCAAACTTAGTGACAAATATGTTAGGTCCTCGCTTATTCATATTGTATGGCATACTCATTTACATCCTGCCATGTTTAAAGAGCAGATTTCGATAATGACATTGTATCCAGACTGCTGTGTAAGTTATATTCGTGCCCTACACTGAGCACCTGATTGATGATCATCATGTTGCCCAATCTTTGTGTGCTGGAGTTAAATGAACCCATTTACTCTGCAATATTATGAATTATCTTTTGCAGGGAAGCAGCAGAGGCTTTAAGCGTCTAGGATGATATAAAACAAGCCAAATGGCGTGCCAAATCAAAGAAGCAAACAATTAACATGGCAGCACATCCTGCACAAATCTTAGCAAACAGTAGTTTGATGACCATAAAGCGTCTAATGCTTTACACCTGGTGCCAAAGATGAAAATGAAGGGTTTCTGTACAACATCCAAATCAAGAAAGATAAAGTTATTTATGAGACCTATGTGTTACTGCTTTGTGGTTAACACCTCAAATAAACGACGGAACTATGGCTACAGTTTTGCAATAACATTTAGAGTTGTGCATGAGTGCAGTTTTGCAACAAAATCTAGAGTTGGGCTTGAGAGAATAAAGCCAAACTCACACAGTCAATAATACACCCGATGTAAAGCATACTCTTGTAGGGATACTCAGTCACCACCTAATCTTATCGTCAATGGAAAACTAAATCCTTTTTACACACTTGTCTGCAGTGGCTTCTTATCAGGTAGTGAGAGGACAAAGGGGAAAAGTATGCCCTTGGCGGCAGAGAGGACACTCAAATCCTCATCTGAGAAAGACGGAGAGATCTCGTCGGCTTCGAACCTTATGGTGAACTGTCGGCTGATGCAGTAGATTGCTCCGTCCATTGTGACACACTGGAAAGTAGGGCAGCGCAGAAGTCGTTTGGAGCTGCACTCGTACCATAGCCGTGCCACCGTATGGTAACGGTACACGCTTACACCAAAGAGGGGGTTAACATCGAATCGATAGAGAAATCTCCCCACAGCTACCATATCTGCAGTTCTGTCATTGCTGCCCACTATGAGGCTTGGCCTCCAGGAGTTGGTTTTGGGGTTATAACGCACTAGCATACACCTTAGAGTACCACCACACACAAAAAGCTCACCACAGCACACAGTAACGTGATGCGCCACTGCAAACGTGTCATTGGGCAATGGAGCCACAAATGTCCATCTGTCCAGGCGTGGGTCATAGCGCTCGACCGATGATAGGCACTCCCCTCCAATGGCATAGATGTAGCCTTCAAGTGCTGCCAGTTTGCAGCGGGGCCTGGCTTCATTCATGGGACATATCTCTTTCCAAATGGATGTCAAAGGGTTGTAGCAAAACACCTGCTTTGAGGGTTTCATTTCTCTGTCTGTGCCTTGGCAGCCCACAGCCACAAATAAGTAGTTGTCCATGGTGCACACGGCGCAGGCTTTAGAGATGACCTCCTGTGGGATCATGCAGAGAGTATGCCAAGCATCTTTGTAGTCATCATAGTAATACATGGCACTCGATGTTCCCCTGTGTTCTGTTGGTCTTTGTGTCTGTGCGCTCCTCAACCAGTCTTGAGGATCCATATCTGCAACAACGACAAACTTTCTCCCCCTCATCCTCTGCTTCTGGATTTTCTCCCTCTCACCAGCCATTAAACGTCCATAAAGGTTGGGATCTCTTAGCACCTGCAGATAGTTGTCTGACATGACCCCAAGGGCTTCCATCTGCAAGGATAATTGTTCATTTTTCTTTGCAAGGTAAAGTGTCTCTAAACAGTTACCTAAATCCAGTTTACTCTTTATGTTTCCCAGATCTGTGTCATGGTTTGCATCTTTTAGAGTGTGCACAAGCTGAACCCGTCCTGCAGTCTGTAGATCAACACCGTTCCCTTTACTGCCTTTGTTATTTCTGGGGGTCTGTGTAAAGATGGTCTCATCAAGTTTTGTTACCAAACACATCACAGATTCCTCTGCTGCAGAACGATAGCTCTCATTTCGTATAAGTGCAGGCCGTTTTGGATCTCTTAGGATAAGACTTTCTTGTAAAGGGGCATCCTTAACAGTCCTTTGAACCAGATTGGACATAATAATAGGGCTTACAGAAGAAGAGGGTTGTGTGACAGTACTCTCAGGATTTCCACACACATTCTTTGACCCAGCGTTCCCCTCATACTGACCTGAAAGTCTGTTTGAATCTGTTGTTGAGTGAGAAGAAGACTCAACATAGTAATCATATATCTTTCCATGCACAATTTGGTCTCCTGAACCATCCAGAACTACATTAGCGTCCTCCACCTTGATTTCTGCCTTGGAGAGGAAGCTGGAGTAGACCCCCTGATGCTCCAAGTCCTGCCTTAGCTCCCTGCCCACACCCACACATCCATCCAGCTTCTTCAAAATGCAAGGGGAACGGCGGCCTGTCGTTGTAGTCGTCCCATACTTTGTTGGATCTTGAGGGCTCAAAACGTTTTCCAATGAAATGTTCTCTGGGGAATCCAGGGGGTTATTCCAGTGAGAGAGTATCTCCACTTCCAAGCATTTATCTTGATCGCTACATTCCCCCTCACTCTTCTCAACAAGGTTTGGGGGAGCTTCTGCTTGTATTTCCTTGATGCTGTCATGTAACTGGTCACCGGTAGCTGAGCCTTCACCCAGATGCACGGGTTGCTTGCCTTCATAATCCTTGCCAATTTCTGGTGAAGTCTGATGCCGTAGTGTCGTCTTACAGTTTTGGCAGGTGGCCTTCTGTGGATCCTTGTTTTTGCCACATGGCTGAATCCCCCTCACATTCCTGGAGTTGTAAAATCGGTAGGCCAACGAAACCAGCAACACCGCGGCCACAGAGAAACTCAGCTTCAGCAGCAGCTGCATGTCAGACTGGACTCCTAAAAGCTCTGCAATAGGCATTGCTGAAAGAAAAAAGAATGGCAGCAATGGCTGGTTGACTGATCCTTTTGAAAGTATTGTCAATGCTTCCCAGCTGACTGGAGCTGCCTGGATTTCATTGTATGCTGAAGTCACGGTGATCTGATGACTATGCCTTTAAAGGATCAAGTGTACAACGATGAACTAGAGTTTCTATTTGCATCCCTAGCTCTGCAGAGGCGGAGCGTCTTTTCAAACAGCACCTGTGGAAGTTCGGATGCAGTTTAAGTAACCATACACAGTATGTAAATACGCATGGATCAATATTTGGTTATGCAAGTTGCTGACTCACCCAGGTTTCTCTATAACTATCCTGGTGAACATAGTCCAATGACCTTTCCTGTTGTTGCTGTTGTGACATCTTTTGGTAAGTATTCAAAAAAGTGAATACGTTCATATGTTTATATGACATTTGGAATAAATTGTCAAAATGATGTCACATAACACTGCTTAATTTGTTATACATGTGGCAGAAGGCAAGCGAGGTTTAAGGGAGGGGTGGATAATTATGGCACGTGACATTCATCAAATACTTTATAACCAGGATGTATTTATTTGTACATTTATACCACTGATCAAAGGTCCTCTCCCATTCAGGACAGGTGCTTAAATGATTTTTTTCTGGAAAGATGCAGATGGTGACTGCCAGAAACAAATGGAAGAAGTATAGTAATATAAATACACAATTGTTGAGATGAAGATAAAATAAAAAAAACAAAAGAAACAATAGAAAAAGTGTTCACATAGAGACCAGACAGAGCCACCCATGCCCATGTGTCGCAAACATATATTTCTGTCACATGGAACTATGTCACTTGGTTGCCACTCTCCGTCTGTCGTCGTGTTGCTGATAACACACTAAAACAAGACTGCCGTCAGCAATAAAACAGTGTGTATTTTAACAGCACTCTGTGAAACCTTGTGAAGATGCATCACATGCACAATAGAACTGGGTGTGTCAGGTGTCCTGTTTGATGTGGGTGCTGTCTGGCCATCTGATAGGCACATCAGCTGACATCTTAAACGAAACTGGATTTCTGCAGGCATGGTTGACTCCTGAATAATTTAGAAACGGATCAGGTCCTTATAGTTTCCCGGGGCAGAATAAAAAAACATTTGCACATTTGTGTGGAGATACTTTTACCTTTTTTGTCTGTGTAACCCTGGATGGATGGTTGATATGTAATCAAAAAAGAAGATGATAAAGAACTTAGCGTTCAGCAGATGTGTCTTTATATTTCAGTAACCTTATGGCTCAGAGAAGAAATGCTTGTAGACCTCTGTATATAAAATTCTCAGAAATTAGCATTCTTTCAGGGACACACTGAGGACAAGATTTGTTATGTAGGAAGTCTATTTTTCACTGTGAAAAAATGTAATAAAGTCATATATCCAAAGGGGTCACATTTATTGCCTGTTGGATCTAACTTAATGAATCTGAGTTACATAAAGTGTTCATACATACTGTCAGTTTGCGTACGTAGATTATACAACACCCATATCTACACACACACAAACAGATGGATGGATGTCTTGCATCATTATCAGGTCATGTAAATACAATGTGCACATTCTAATTCTGTGAGAAATCTTTTTAAAACTAATACCAAAACTTCATCTCGGAAAACAAAATGTAGGAACTTATAAAGCCATACAGTAAGTGGACAAAGGTTAGGGACCTTTTTCTTCCCGAAAATGAAATAGATAAATACATAAATAGATACAGAAATAAAATAAAAAATCACCATCTTACAAATGGCTGCTAGTAAAGTTTGTGCTATGAAACTTTCATCCCATGAACGTAGAAATATGGATTGGTGCTGTTCAACAAAACCTTCCACCTGGTTTGAAACTTAATTCCTTAAAACAGATAAATGAATTTTTTAGGCCGAAAAATGCAGGATTACTCAGCTTTAAGGTACTCTATGTTGATAACATATCAACTCCAAGGGGTAAACAATGATGAGACAGTCTTTATTAAAACAAGAGGGGGAATCAACATCTGAAATGTGTCGAACATTTTTGGGATTTCTGTGGGTAAGCTTAGACAAGTCATAGACAGAATTGAACGTTTTCCTTATATGGGAAAGACATTGTTACTCAAATGAAATTGTTGTTGCATTGTGTAAAATGTAACAAAAACAGAATTAAATGGTTTGCAAATCTCAAATAACTGTTTCGTTGAGACAGAGGCAACAAAAGGTTAGGAAAGTAATTGCTACAAAAAGAAAGCCAGCACTCACAGGAGGAACATGTTACACCATATCAAGTTAATTGTCAACAGATCAGGTTGGAAAAGAGCTGGCAAAGGTTGGGTCTTGCTGACAAAAGAAAACAATGGCAAAGTTTTTCGATCTGCAAACAAAAAGTGTACCAATTTTTTAAACAATTTTGGAATTGCTAGGTGTAAGGTTGTGAAAACACTGACTGCTCCATCAGCAGGACATACATAGATTTTAAAGTTCTCTGGACACACATATGCATGCATGGGACATGGATGATAGGTGAAAACCTTTGGGCTCTTAGGTTGTAACTATTAAAAGACAGACATTCTGTCTCAAAAATCCCTGCATGGTCTCAACGAACACCTCCAGTATTTATTGATAGTTTATTATGCTATTCCCAAATGCAGGCCAAAGAGGGCCCAATTTTGTTAAAAATTCTTTTTGGAAATCATAAAGCCCCTGTCAGATTACTCACTTTGTTATCAGGGAACAATTTAAAAGCCAGTATCTCGGACGGTATAGAGGTGAGTAGTATATATATGGATCCGACAACTTCAATATCGAGAAAAGGCATAGATGAAGATAAATCTGAATTCAAAGTAATTCCAGAGAGACAATGCTCAACCCCATACTGCATTCATTAGAACAGCATATCACTGTAGTACAAGACAGAGTGCTGGACTTATGAAAACAAACATAAGTTCCAATCTTTTGGGCAGCTAAAATCCTATATCAGACAACAGTTGAATATTCTCTGTTTGCCCAAAGTCCAACAAAAGGCCTCATCAGTTACTAGATGTTCACTGACGTTAAAAAGAGGGCAAGTAACAAAGTGGTAAATATGGATATTAAAGTTTGTGCCGGATTATTCAATGTAATGTTGTTTTTTTGTAACATTCTACAGGATTTTGAGCATTTTCAATCGTTTAACTTTTTTTTACACACAATAATCCCACGTTTTTCTGGCATTTGGGATTGAAGAACAAAAAACATCCTGTAATCCTTGAGGTGTGAGTGAAACACGGTCTATTATGAGCACCCAGCGTTGAATAATCAAAATTGACCAACACGTGAAAACACTTCTCAACACTGTAAGTAAAGTCAAGGCTTTGTGATGTTTTTATAATCTCTCAATTTTAATACAGGTGAAATGAAACAAATGCAACAACCCTGTTTACACAAGCTGCCTCGGGTGAGCTCCTCCCTGGATTGACGGCTAAATGATCCTGCTAGTACTGTCAATGTCTGGGGAAGAGTTACGCATTGTACACAATGTAGGTCACAAGTAAATAGCTGAATTACAGGCTAGTGACAAAGAGTTGCAGTACTGTCAGGTGCAACACATCCAAAGGAGAAAAGAATCTTTAAACGTCACATGCACCACAACCCCAAAACAGCAGACATGTTATATTTTCTTTCTTTTTTTGTTAAAATCTGTCCTTAGAGACCTGCCATGTATTTATATATATATATACACATATATATACACACATATATATATATATATATATATATATATATATATATATATAAAACCCTATGTGAGTACCAGAAAGACTGTTAATTGGTTCTGTCCTCTGACCTGCGAGTTGTTTTTAAAGTTTGAATGACGGACAAACAAAGGTGAAGAAGCATAAACTCAAACAATCTCCAATCATTCCTCACCATAACCCATATAAGCTTTTTAATATTTTTTTTCATATTTACACTGATGTACACAAAATACAGTCAAATGAGATTTCTCAATGCATTTAAATCGTACATTCCAAGCTATCAGAAAAAAAGAATATATATATATATGTATATATATATATAAATGTATATTTATATATTTATATATATATATACACATACATACACACACACATACGTATATGTATACATATACATATATAAAAAGGAAGGTCCCCTTGGAGCATCTGTATGTTTGTACTCCCATGGTTGATCAGCTTGTTGCTAATCTGGTGCATTTCAGGACATGTAACAGATGGGAGTGTTTGATAGGGTGCTGCTGTCAGAGCCAGTTCCATTTTTCACATTTCACTCAACGCCGACAACACTGTGACACAAAAATAAAATCCGAATGCTTTCGTTCCTTCTTTTTAAAATCGTCAAATTTTATTCATCAACAGGCAATCGTGGGACAAAAAAACAAAAAAAACAAAAAAACGTAAGGGTGGTGCCATATAGGGGGTGACTAAGATCATGATTATCTTGTTTTTTTTCTTTTAATTGATCTTGATTATATCTTCATATATAAAAAAGCAAAAAGCAAACAACAAAAAAAACAGAAGCCCCTTTGTGTGGTGGCAGAGTTTCCTGATTGACATAGAGAGGGTCTGCTGATGACTGGAAAAGGCTTGCGGGACTCCGGAAAGTGTTTGTGTCTGTGTACATATGCAGATGCTGTGTGTTGTATGGGTAAATATGTGTGTGTCTGCGCGAGAGGCTTCACGTCATTTCCACTGTCACTGTGAAGACAAGTGCAATCCATGTAAGTCCGAGCACATCCGTGCGGGGGGCCTTATCTGCAAAAAAGTGGAAAGTAGACCACGTTAATCAGATAAAGCTTTTTAGTTATCATCTAAAGTTTAACCTCATTCCAACGCAATGAATCAGATATTTGTAAAGATAAGTATTGTCTGAAGAATTGAGATATTTCTAGAAATTGAATATATTACAACTAAGTGTTTACCAGAGTGCCTAAATTTGATTTTAAGAACTTGCTAAAGCCCTGTTAAAAAAGACTGACAGATC